GTGCTATAATTTAGTTATATTTAGCACACTGTAGTTTAATTTGCCTTAAAAATGTTTACAACCCAATTAGGTTGCCATCTTTTTTTCTTCAGAACGTTTGGATGAGCTATGTGTTAACACACTGTTAAAAGCTTATTTGAAAACACTGCATTTTTTTTTTTTTTTTTTTAGTACCAGGGATCGAACTTGGGCCCTTGTGCTTGTAAGGCAGGCAGCGGAACCTCTGAGCTAAATCCCCAGCCCAACATGGCATCCTTTTAAGTCCAGACAACAAATGTGGTTAACATCATTTTATTTAGGTACATTCAGTTCAAGGTTCGCAGTTTCTGGTGCTATGGGGTTGTGTGGAGGTGGGTGGCGTTACACTGTCTCTTCTAGTTGCTATGGAACATATTTTGAGTGACTGTTTTCTATAAGCTCTTGAGTTAGCTCATGGGGAGGATGTTAGGATGGATAAGACATGATCTTAGCTATTCAGAACTTAATCTAGAGAGAACAGTAAGTCATCCAGGGAGCTGTCCATCAATGCTGCACATGACACTAGCCATCGATGAGGTACAAATTGATCACTGTGTGGGATCGTTCACACTGGTGGTCAGGGATGGCTTCCCGGAGGAGGGGTGCCACTGGAAATAGATCTCAGATGAGAGGCTTTTCTGGGATGAAGGAAAGATGAATATGGGAACAGAAGCAGAAAAATGCAGAATTTGAGATCCCAGTTCTCCACCAGGGAAACAGTAGTTGTGTTTACACGAATGAACATGAAAAGCAGCGTGCAGGGTGTGTGTGAGCACCCTGCCCTGGCCCAGCTGGAGGGGTGGGCTGGACAGCAGGTTCTGGACACGGACATGCCTTTCCTGGCAACATGGAGAGAAGGCTGGGCCACCCCACACCCTGGAGGGCCTGATGCCCTGCATCACAGGCACCCCCCACCTGGTGACACTGACTGGCACCTGGGCCCTCCCCAGCTCTGGCCCATGCCTCTTGACTCACTCCTACGGAGGAAGAGCCGTGTTCCCAACACGTTGAGCGCTGTTTCTGTCCCTCTGCACCTGGCCTCTGTCCTCTGCAGCAGCTCTTGTAAGTACTTGTTTCATCCCCACATCCTGCTCCATGCCTGAAACACAGCAGTGCAACCGCTGGTTTCTGTGCTTTCAACGTAAGCCGACCAGATAGGCATGAAGGACCATTTCTTCTGTGTCCCTCCCACTCTGCTCCTTCCTCAGCCTCCTTCCTGTAAGGAGGGTGCTCTCCCACTGGCTGGTGGTTCTTTCTAGTGGGCTGCTTTCCCTGGAGGGTTCAAAGCCACGGGTGACTATGGAGCAATGAAGTGGGGAAGTCGGTCCAGAGGGTGGTTCTTGCTGTCCTGGGCAGGCCCCCCACTTTCTTACTGCCTCTTCCATGCAGCCCACCCAGTCCTCACCTCACCCTGCCCGTGCACAGGTAAGAGCACCAACCCCGTCCGTTTCCAGCTGTGGTGCAGTCAGACTTCAAGGTATACACAGAGCGCAAGGAGTGGCTGGACTTGGTTTCATCAGCCTGCCAGTCACGATTGAGCCACACCTTCCTAACGGGTAATAACTGCACTGACACACTGCCCAGCCAGGGTGAGTTGTAGATTGTCTTGTCCGCTTAGCGTCGTTCCAAGGTTTCCCTTTAACATAGGGAAATGACCTATAAGTCCAGAGCTGTTGCATCCCCTCATCCCCCGGACTCAAAGTCCTATTTTCCTAAGGTTAAGTAATATTTAGGCAATTGTAGTTCACCTTGTAAGAGTAACTGTTTCCTCATGGACCCTGAGGGGAGCTCTTCCTTAAATATGTGTATGTAACTTGATTTGGAAGGATGCTTGCTGTAGTAAACACTGAACTTTTCCTCCCATGAAGGAATGGAGAGACTTTAGGTGAACATTACCATGAATAAAGAGCTCTTTCAATTTGCAACAACAATTACCAAAGAGACATAGGATTTATCTTTAATTTTTAAAAATTCAGTTATAAGGAGTTGGTTCCACACGTTTAAAATAATGAAGGGAAGTGAGGCAGCTCTTCAAGATGCTGACCTCACACCCTTAAACCCGCTTCCTTTCCGTGCTTCCTTAACATACCCTGTGGCACCGCTGTTCCTCCCCAGGAATTTGTCACTTCACTGACACGGTCTGCACACCATTTGTGCTTTTGAATCTTGTTATCCTTATCATATCCAAATGGACACTACGTTGACAAGGTGCCAGGCTGTGATTCTGTCCTAACCGTGACTAAGTCTGAGCTTCAGCGCGAGCACAGGGCTCACTGACGCCGTCCTGCTGCAGCGAGGCTTTCAGACAGCCCAGGTGTCCTCCCCAGTGCTGTTTCTGCCTAACATTTTCACCTCAAACCTAGTGCTCCTCCCAGCTACCCATACCATAGGATAACGTGTAATGATCCAGTGATTATTACATCCTCTGCTTCGCTCCTTGGTCTCAGGTCTTTATGAGTGACCATGTTCTGAAGTACCCTAGTCCTGGTACATAAATACTAGTTAACATGATGTTACACAAAAGCACACTGCTTACTGAAATAAAGAGTGAACATTTAAAATTGCTAAAACATCACTTTATTGTTTGAAAAACTCCCTGAGTGATCATTTGGAATACCACGTAGACACACATTTCAACTTCTTTGGGCCATAACAAAATTCACAATATACTTTTAGCGTAAAAATCACTTTATTATACAACAATCATACAGAATGTTTTTATCTACAAAGAAAAATAGCTTTTCCTACCTCCCTGTCCATCCTAGTCATGATACTATGTCAAGATACAGATTCTTTCAAAGGAAAACAAAAAGGTCATGTCCTTATTTTCTAAATAACCCCTATAAACATTCAAAAATGATGTAGAAATATTGGGAAGAACTAGAATGGTCTCTTACATTTAAAATGCTAATCTGCTCATCACAGTAAATACAAGATACTTCTCCGATGGGGTGGAGAGAACTTTATTCATCAACATGCTTAACTAGCTCAATAGTAATTTTGATGGCTTGAAAAATTTTAAATTTAATCTCATTCACCAAATACTTCACTTTATTTTAAAAACTGAGGGAACTGCTAACTTTACAGTATTTTTTAAAAAGTATTTTCATTCCTGGGGTAAGAGGAAAGTGCCTTGGGAAAACAGTCTCCATTTTTAAACAAATTATAGTAATAGCAATATTTTTTACAGCTTTGTTTTAGGAAAATCACAAAGTAAAATTTTGGTTTTTTTAAAAGTTGCAACACTTAATGACAGGTTAAAACACCTGATTAAAATTGTGTGGCTCAGATCTCGTAGCTCTGTGTATTTATCAGCCCTTCAGTGGTTTAAGGCTTTCAATGTTTTCATTATGCTCGACTAGAACCAATTTTCGCTTGGATCTGAGTGGTGTGAAGCTGCCCGGCACTGAGAGCTGCGTGACTGCCAGTCGGCTTGAGGATGACTCCCTCTGCCACACAGAAGCCCATGGAAACACCCCGACGTGCAGGTACAATGCGTGGGAAGGCGTGGGTCTCACAGCCTTCATACACTGACCGGTGATGTGTCTTCTTCCTGAGTCTCTTTTTTACCCAGAATGCACTTTGGCAACATTTTGGCTGTGTTTGAGAACTAAAACTGGATTCAAGTCCAGTTTCTCACAGGGACTTTCTCCATAGTCCAATCTAGGTCTTGTCATAGAAGTACAATCATAGTCATGCTCAAAGCTGGCCCTTGTTTCAAAATCAGTTCCTGGAAGAGCACAAAACACTGAACGCAGTTGTAAATGATAAGACTCCAAGGTGGTAAGCACCTAGGGCAGGTCAATTTGAGAAAACCATTTAGAAGAACAACAGTCAGTGGCTCAACAGAAACACAGCCACAAGGGAGTCACGCGGCACAGTGCATTTAGACTGAAGGTTTCTAAGTGTTAGTCACCTTCAAAATATACGCCAGAGTCCTGAGAAAGGGCAGTTTACATGAGATACGTTTAAAGAGCCAACCCCAACAGTGAAGATTTAAAACTAGAGTTAAAATGGGTGGTAAAAAAGGGGTAGAAAAGCACCATTGTTGGGAAAATGGTGAAAGTACCTTTCCAGTGCTCATATATTTGATTTTGATTTTATGACCTAAAAACTTATATTTTAAAAAAGATAAAGTAGGAAAGAAAATAAAGTGTCAAAGTTGGCAAATCCTGTTTTATATGGTATAATCTTTAGGAAATACTTGTTTTCACTGTCAGAACAGTTCAACGGTGACCCCGCAATGCTGGGGAGAAGGAAATCCTCATGAATGCTTCTGCCCGAGCTTGTGCTTGGTTCTCTGCAGATCACAGTGCTGAGCAAGGAAAGGCATTTTCGCTGTGGCTCACTGTTGAAATCTTTCCAAACTACAGCTTTTTCTCTTTTCAAAAACTAAAATAACCTTCAAAGATTGATACAAGTATTTGGGATAATACTCATGAGTAGGCTCACAAGAAATAGTTGACACATGTAGTGTTTATCCTGTTCACATTGCTGTCAATTCTGATTTGCAGTAATCCAGTGGAATATACATCCTAAAACAAAGTGACAATTGGACCCCAGTCCTTACTCTCAAAGGAAATGGGCAGCCAGATGGCAACACAGGTTTTAGTATAGAGCACATGTCTTTATTAACCAAGGCTCACTATCTGGGAGGTAGACAGGAATACATGAATAATTAAGGAGACCAAATTAAAACTAGGGAATGACTCCTAACCAACGCCCCTGAGTTATGAGGATTTGGCAGAAATTTCTTCCTTCTTAGAATAACTAAATAATTACTATAATAACTAATAATTACTATATCGCTATTTGGAATTAGAAGTGGTTTTCAAAATCTGACAAAGACTGGCTTGAGGGAGAGAGGTTTTGCTAGATTTTTGTCTTAAAATGATCCCATTTTAATATTTTCAGGGGCTGGGGATGGAGCTTAGTGGTAGAACATTTGCCTAGTATGTGCAAGGACCTACGTTTAATCTCCAGCACTGCCCAAAAAACTTTTTTTTCTGGGTTTCATTCTAATATTGCTTAGAAACAAAAGCAATATTATGCACCAATAATTATTGCTTAATGTAGACTAGAACATTCCCTGTATTTACAACCTTATTAACAATTTCTTGTACACAGTTTAGTCCGAGGACCTGGACACCCCCTATGAAAAGTGGTGCCCCATGTTCCTGGCTGCGCATGCGTTTACGGCTTCACAGAGTCAGTTCAGGTGCTGGCGCCTCTGTGTGGGAGGGTGAGACGGCAGGAGGGGAAGCTGCACCTCTTCTGGGATCTGCAGAGTTCAGCCTCCCCTCAGTGCTGGCCAAAACATTCAGTTAACAGAGTGACCTAATGGCAATATATTAATACGTTCTAGGTACAAATGATTTATAAACGCCAAAAAAATTAGTTAACGCTAAAACATACAACTTTCATTTCAGCCTTTGCTTTAAAACAAGTGACTCTGCTAGGCTAGTGCAATGTGTTTGCTTTTCCCATTACTCTATTTTTATTGTGCTTTCTTGTTCATCACTCCATTCGCTGCAGTGAAGGGGGCTTTGGAAAGACCATTCCTGACTTCTTTCTCTGCAGGTGGCTCTTGTGTATCTTTCTTCATTGGCTTTTTTCGGTATGTCTGTTGGATTGGTGTATATGTTGAAAAGAAAGGGAAAAAAAGATTCCTTAATAAGACCTTGCCTCTAACATTGAAGACAGTTTAAAACAGTACATGTTTTTCTTGGGCACTAGACTTTCTCATCAGAATTCACATTTGTAATGTGACCACCTACATGCCTCTGGGCAAAGATTAAAAACAAGGTAAAACCAAGATAAATGCTTGACAGTCAATGAAAAGTTTCACATTAGGTCAGGACTTGCATATTTTGGGATTAGTGTTCAAATTATTCTGCCTTATTTGCTCACTTGGAAAGAATGTAATTTA